TATTCCGCCAAGACCAAATACATTAACATTGTCATAACCATCACCATGCCTTCTGAGAGTTGTCATGATTGAACTACGGCTACTCACAAATCAGGCAACCAACTAGACCTTATTTACACACGACACTGCTCCACTGATCATGTGCTGGTTACTCCACTGCACACCATGGATCACTTCCTCCTCACTCTTAACCTCAACATGGTTCCTGACACAACACATACCCCTCCACATGTCAATTTTCGACGTAACCTACGCTCACTCTCACCCTCCCGGCTATCTGCTATGGATTCATCTTCGCTTCCTACCCCTGAACAGTTATAATATCTTGATGTTAACAGTGCTACTGATACTTTCTGCTCCACTCTTATGTCTTGTTTAGCTAAACTCATCCTTTCTAATCATCCTACTACTTGTCCGCTTGATCCTATTCCATCTCATCTCCTTCAAGCCATTTCTCCTGCCGTTGTACCTGCACTCACTCACATCATTAACACATCCCTTCACACTGGTGTTTTTCCCTCAGCATTTAGACAGGCTCATATAACCCCACTACTTAAGAAACCCTCTCTTAACCAAATTCTTTTAGAGAACCACAGACCGGTTTCCCTTCTACCTTTCATTGCAAAAACACTTGAACAAGCTGTGTTCAACCAAGTCTCTGCCTTTCTCACTCAGAACAACCTCCTGGACAGCAACCAATCTGGCTTCAGAAGTGGACATTTGAACGAGACTGCCTTGCTTTCAGTTGTTGAAGCCCTAAGACTGGCAAGAGCGGCTTCCAAATCTTCTATACTTATTTTGCTGGATCTGTCTGCTGCTTTTGATATGGTGAACCACCAGATTCTCCTGTCAACCCTATTGGAAAATGGCATCTCAGGAACCGCACGCCAGTGGTTTGAGTCTTATCTCTCAGATAGGTCTTTCAAGATATCTTGGAGAGGTGAAGTTTCCAATTTGCAACATCTAGCTACTGGGGTGCCTCAGAGCTCAGTTCTTGGACCACTTCTCTTCTCTGTCTACATGGCATCACTAGGTTCTGTCATTCAGAAACATATAAACAGCTTTTTTTGGGGTTGTTGCTGATGACACTCAGAGAACTGCTTGTGGTTTCAACAAATATATATATATATATTAGGGCTGCACGATAAATCACATGCAATATTTAAGCCGGTTCTGTAATCAGCGGTAAATCTCCATCACGTGCGGGGTTTCACATTGAGCAGCATTAACTACACAGAGCCGTTGTTCACTGACGCAGTAACACAAAAATTAACTAAATCTAAAATGAAAACAGAAAGAATAAAAATAAAAACTCAAAATATTAATAAAAATAATATTATTAAATAAAATAAATATTAATAAAATATTAAAATAAATCAAAATATAAATATAAATAATGATAATAAATTGGGATTTACAAACTAGATTTTTAAATAATAATTGTAAAAATGCAATAAAAAAGCACAAATTACTAAAACTTTTATTAAATTAACATAAAAACTAATTCATTATAGCAATATTCAAATAAATAAAAATCTGAATATAGATAATGATACTAAATATCTGAATGATAATGAGAGTGCTGTCATTGACTCTGAAGGCTCTACGGGGTCCCGTCAGGGTCAAGTTCAGCCCTTCATCTCACTTTAATGAGTTTGAAACTGATTTGTGACCAGTAATCCTGTGTTTCGTCTGATGGCTTGTGAGTTTGAGTTTCTGACTCCGTTACGCTCAGACTGAATCTGCAGCGATGAGCTGTTCGATGTAGATTTGATTATTCACAGCAGTAACTGTAGGATGAAGCGGTGTGTGTGTGTGTGTGTGTGTGTGTTATAGTGCTCCAGTTTGCCCTGCATGCTAACAAGGCCTCATTTCTTTAAGGCGCTGCCAGAAATTAGCATCTGAGTGGGAATGGGAGAGAGAAGGAGTTTGTGAGGATTTTGTTGGTTTTTGTTAATCTGAGTGTGAGAGAGACGGGAATGTTAATGGATTCAGAGTTCAGAGATGCTCTGAGTAAACATTTGCTTTCCATCTTCTGGGAAAACAACACAAATGAGCAGAAGACTCAAGTGTCCTTCAGGCACAAGAAAGGCCAAGAAACACAAGAGTATCTTTAACAGATTCAGTGCTTTTATTCAGGGAACTCCAGCAGAACTCATTTCTCCCACCCCATTAACACATATTTGTTCTAGTTTTAAGCATAAACTCACTTTATTTTGGTATGTTTCTCAGAAAACAATACTTTATATCTAGATTTGCTATTTATATTAAGATTTGCTATTAGTATATATAGGGCTTTATGTGAGTTTATGAACAGTATATGAGTGAAGTTGGATATGCATAATAGTTTTAATTACAGTTAATAATTCAGATGAATCATCAGTAATAATTAAATCATAAAATGTAAAAATTTCAATTAATAAATAATTTAAAAATAACAAATCTAAATAAAGCAATTTCTTAAGAAAACCCCATATATTTTAAATAAAATATACAAATATGTTATTTGTTTAGCTGCATGTCATGTGACCATTAACTGATAAAAAATGTAAATAAATAATTTTTGAAAAATAAAAAAAAACAAAAAAACAGTAAATTCAAAAAATCTATTTATAAAATATAAAAACATTTTATTTGTTGAGGTGCATGTTATGTGATCATTAACTGACATAAAATTAAAATTCATAAATATTTTAAAAATAAAAAAGATATACAAATAAAACAAGAAGCAAACTAATTTTTTTTTAAATAAAATATAAAATTATTTCATTATTTAGCCACATGACATGTCATCATTAAACAACATCAGAGAACCATGAACATGCAAATGTGTTGTTAAATTATGGAAATATTAACTTAAAATCTAAAAAGTAAATATTTTTGCTCAAAGAGGTTTGACTGATAAAAATGAAAAATGATAAATTCAGTAATTTGTTTTGCTGTGGTATTGTGGATTATGAAATCAGTGCCATGGGTTAAATAGAGTCAAAGGTGCAGTCATGAAGTCAGTAGCGTGATGAGTCTGAACCTGTGTGATTCAGTGTTAAAGACGCTCATCAAACGCTCAACTCACTCAGCTCTGCTGTTTTCATCAAGCATTCGGCTGGATTCATACGCACTTCATTCATATGATAAACACAGCCATTATTTGCATTCCGCCTCTGCGATTATAGAATCCAATGAGGGCTGATGGGAGGCGTCTGCTGGAATGTCTTTGTGTGTTTGTGTCACAGACGAGTTTCCTCTCCAAACGTTGATATTAGAAACGGGAAATCTGTGGATATTACAGTCTGTTTGAGTCAGATGTTTTACTCACTCAAGTGTCGAGGATTGACTCACAGATACAGATAAACGTTACACACACTCACACACACTGATATACACACACACAAACACACACACACACACACACACACACACTCACTCACTCACTCACACAAACTGATATACACACACACAAACACACAGCCTCACATACACTGATACACACACACTTACTCACACACACTAATATACACACACACACTGACATACACAAACACACACACTCACACACACTGATACATACACAAACACACACACACACACAGACACTGATATACACACATACACACACACACACTGATATACACACACACACACACACACACACACAGACACTGATATACACACACACACACTCACACACACTGATACATACACAAACACACACACACACACAGACACTGATATATACACACACACACACACTGATATACACACATACACACACACACACTGATATACACACACACACACACACACACACAGGTTTACATTTGTGAAAAGTGGGGACATCCCATAGGGGTAATGGTTTTTATACTGTACAGACCGTATATTCTATTGCCCTACCCCAACCCTACCCCTAAACCTACCCCTTACAGGAGACTTTGTGCTATTTCAGATTTTCAATACCCTCCATTCTGTGTGATTTATAAGCGTTTTGAAAAGTGGGGACATGGGGTAATGTCCTGAAAAGTCACCTTCTCCTTGTAATTCCTATGTCATACCTTTGTCATTATACAAATTTATGTCCTCATTTGTCACAAAAACGCGGACACACACACACACACTCACTCACTCACTCACTCACACACACACACTGATATACACACACACAGTCATGTTGTTTTATTATTTTTATTTATTATTTTTAATTTAATTAGTTTAATTGGTTGCACTATGTAGTTCCAAGTTAATGAGAGTTAGTTGACATGTAGTTACAGCGTTACATGTAGTTAGAGGAATGTCTAAAGAGGACTCTCAAAATCAAGTGTTACTGAATTATTATTGCATTTTTTGTTCATATTTTAAATACAATTTTAACTGTAATGTTGTACATTTCCACTATAATTTTAGTAGTTTTAGTAATTGTTTAGTATTTCTTAGTGTTTTGTCATTTTAGGTTTTTTAAATGTCTACTACATGTATCTATATATTTATAATTTTCTTTGGTTATTTAGTTATAATTATGTATTCTGTTTCAGTTAACATTTATTTGAAGTAACTGAAATCTTTTGTTCTTTTATGATTGAGTTGGTGATAATAGCCTTGTATTTTAATAGTCTTGTATTTGTACGTGTCCCGCTGGTCATGTCTGATGTGTGTGCTCTGGCTGTGATCCTGTGAGAAACACATGTGTGTTCAGTGAGGCAGTGATCATATGACCTGTAATCATGATCATGCTTACAGATCACCGTTATCAGACCTGCTCTGTGCTGTTTCACACGTGTTGAGCTGATGACCAGATAAATGTTTGAGCATCACTGGCCGTCAGACAATTGATTCATATGATTCATTTAGTAATGTTTTGTCAATTTTATTAGTTTTTATGTCTACATAAGTTTATAATAATTATATATAATTCTTCCTAATTTTTTATTTCAGTTTTAGTTTTTTTAGTAGATCAATTTAAAAAGAAAATTAGAAAAAGATGATGAAAATGTGAAATTTACTGTCTGTGTGTGTGTCTGTCAGTGTTGTGTGGGTGTCTGTGAGCCGCTGCTGTCCTAATCGCGCATGAGGGCGGGGCTAAACTCACTCCAGACGCGGCTCATTGGTCACAAGGCCGTGATGGACAGGCCGAGGGAATTGGCCCTGCTGCTGCTCTTCCTGGGTCACGTGATCACGGCGCTGGAGGTTCCTCTGGACCGTACGTATCCACACACACACACACACACACACACACACACACACACACACACACACATATATATAATAGACTCAGGGGTGGTTCTAGGGTGAGTAGATATGCGGGGCTTAGCCCAGACATCCATGTATGTGTCAGATTACATGGGATACACTTATATATATACAGTGTATATATATATATATATATATATATATATATACACACGTGTGTGTGCAGGGTTCTATTCTGTTTTTAATATATATTTTTAGCACTTGTACATGCATTTACACTGCACTTACAAATTGCATAAATAATGTTATGAGATTAATGTTTTAAATATAAAAACTGGAACATAGAAATATGAGAAGATAGAAAAAAATTAAATGGTACTTTTAAATATGAAACTAAAATTACCAGTAGGTGGTGGTGAGTCGCTGAGTCATTTATTCAATCGATTCTTTCAAATCGACTGATTAATTGAGGAAGGAAGAAAGAAACTGTTTTTCTGAATGGATCAGTGAAACTCACTGATTTGTTCATTCAGTAAGGAAACACTGCTGTTTGTTGCTGCAGAGACGCACAGCATGACTTTATCTGGAACCATTTTTGTTAGCGAAACTGAATGACAGTGCAAGCAGATGCTGTTGGATGTTAAGAGAGCAAACCTGTGGACGGGCTTCAACGACGTAGGCTATTTGTAATGTGCCTCTTTTCCTTATTATTAATCTTTATTGTTAATCATTAAATGTATATTGATAAGAAATGTGATTTATATGTAAAGTGTATAGGCTAATTTAATTCAGTGATGTTCTACAGTGTTGTAATCTTTTGTGTTTTCTACATTTCTTTGTGGAAACCACACACACACACACACACACACACACACACATATACACATGAACGCTCTTTTCAAACAGAGGCTTGTAATGCACATGATATCAGTCACAGCATATAATGACTACTAAAAATGACAAATTATATATAATTTTCTTTCAAATAAAAGGAAAATTAAAAGTGAGTTGAATCCAAGCAGCTCTAAAAGATTTTAGAATAGTTCTGCATCCTGAAGGTGCTCCGCCTGTGTTTGCGGTGTTGCTTTGACCATTTAAACATGTTAATTACACAAACAAAATGTTTAGCGTACTGTCTCTGGAAATATCAACAGTGATTGATCAGCCTTTATTTTTGTATTGTAGACTTTTTTACTAGGCGAAGCAAAATTTGCACGAAAACTTGCAGAAATATCCACGACATAGGCTACAGTAAGAGCGCATGGTTTATCTGTCCATCAAATATGTGTCAAAGTTGAGTTTGTTACTATAACAACAGTAGATCAAACAATCTTTGTAGAAAAAAAAAACCTTTGTCGAGATCACGAGAAAATTAAGTCATTATAACGAGAAAACAACTTTTGTTATGTCGAGATCACGAGAAAATTAAGTCGTTATAACGAGAAAACGAGAAGGAAAAAAAATAATATTGCATGGCCGCTTAGAACTTTCGTATAGTCTAGATCAACTCTGAATAAAGAAAAGAGAGGTTTAGAGCCAGTCAATTTCTGTTTATGTATGTGAAATTTAATTTAAAGATAATAACACATGCTGCAATAAAATGCTCATTTGTTCATGTTCATTTTACATAATATTTATTAAATAAAAAATTATTTGAGAATAATCTGAACATCTTCATCAACTTCTTCATTATGCAATTCTACTTTAATATTTTTCACCAATCAAGAAATAGTTGAAATCAATTCTGCACACACTGGGAATGCAATGTTTGTGAATTACACAGCAGACAGTGTTAGTTTTACACACAGAACAGTCAGAATGAGAGATGTGTTGCTGATGTACTGACGCTCTCTCTCGCGTCTGTCTGTGTAATTCTCTTGGCTTCTTCAGCTAAACTTCTGGAAGAACGTGAGTTCATCAGCTGCTGTCCTGAAGGATGTTTGCTGTGAATTGAGCTTGTTATTTCCTTTATTCTCATTAGTTTGCTTATGATATGGTTTTATTGCTGTGTTTGCATGCTGTCCGTACAGCACGACTGCTTCAGTTCTCTTGTAGATTAAACTTGACAGACTCATTAATACTCAGCGCTGATTTACAGAAATAAAATGCATGTGATGCAGTAGATTGATGTGCGTTTTTATCATGTTTTGCATGTCGACAGATGCTGTGTGTGTGTGTGTGTGTGTGTGTGTGTGTGTGTGTGTGTCTCTGTCTCTGTCTCTGATTGGCTGTAACTAAACTCACCTGTGTCATTTGATCCCCAGTGCCGCAGCCCCCCACAATCACCCATCAGTCGCCGAAGGACTACATCATAGATCCACGCGAGAACATCGTCATCCACTGCGAGGCCAAAGGGAAACCGCATCCCAGGTGATGATAATGATCTACATTTCCACGACTAAGAAACTGCTGTTTCCACGACTAAGATGAGATGACATTAAACACTTAACTGTGACTGTTATTAAAGGGACAGTTCACTCAAAAATGATGATTATGTCATCATTTACTCACCCTCATGTTGTTCCAGAGCTGTGTGAGTTTCTTTCTTCTGTTGAACACACAAGAAGGTATTCTGAAGAATGCTGGTAACCAAACAGCTGACGGTAGCCATTGACTTCCAGAGTTTGGAAAAAATGACTATGGAAGTCAGTGGGTACCGTCGAGATTCTTTTGTGTTACACAGAAGACAGAAACTCACACAGGTTTGAAACAACTTGAGGGAAATTAAATGATGACAGAATTTCATTTTTGGGTGAACTGTCACTTTAGCATGAAAGGCTGTTGATGAATGTTGAAATGTAGCTTTACCCTAACCTCTCTTTATGCTCATCAACAAAAAAGAGGAGAAACAGACATTATAGACTTTTTTTTATTTAACAAGTCTCCATAAGTTTTCCGGATGTCAAGAGTTTTTAAAAATTTTTTATTAGGAATTATTAGGTATTATTTGTTTTTGATGGAAGCTTCTGGTTTTTACATTTGTCATAATGAAGAGAGTATGATAATTGATATGATAAATATAATAAATCTGGAAACTAGATCAAGTTTGTGAGTTCACACTCTTAATTTGCCATAATTCTGAAGAAATGTAAAATTTAATTTCTCAGATGACAACAGTGTAGGTCAATAAGCACGAATATAATTTTCAGCAAAATAATCATGATTGTCAGTTTAACCGTCATGCAGCATAACTAAATGTGAATAAAATATGATATTCATGATGATGAAATAATTATATTACTGTGTTTAATTTAAAGATAATAAATAACACATGCTGTAATAAAATGTGTATTAATTTTACATAATATATTTATGTACTTATTTAAATTAGAAAAATGTAATAATTTGAACTTCTTCATCAACTTCTTGATTCTATAATTCTGTTAGAATATTTTTCACAAATAAAGAAATAGTTAAAAATCTGAGCACATTGGCAATTTTTATTTTCATAAATAAGCAACAGATAATGCTAATTTTACCTACTGAACATTATCAATATGAGAGAAAGGAGTGCAAATGTTTTTATGTGAGTGACGGAAAAATTCACTAAAGGTTGTGGAATTAAGTATTTATGACATATTCAAAGACTTTTTTTTTGTAATTATATAACTTACTGAATGTGATAATTTATATAATTAATATAATAAATCAAGAAACTAGACCATGCAAGTGAGTTCAGACTTTTAAGTTGTCGTAATTCTGATGAAATGACAGCAATGCAGATCAGTAATCACGAAATGTGATACTAATCGAGAACTAAATGTGACTCAAATGTGATATCTACGATGATAAAATATGATTGTAAAATATATACATATGAAAATAATATATAAGTTTAAGACTAAAATGTCCAGACCTTTATCAACTAAAACTTGACTGAACAAAGATCAGGACAGATTTGACACAGGACTGTAATTGAATGAGCAGATATCTGACCGAATGAACTGCTCGCCCTCAGCTTCTCGTGGACCAGGAACGGGACGCATTTTGACATGGATAAGGATCCTAAAGTCCTGATGAAGCCTCATTCAGGGACGCTGGTGATGGACATCAGCGGAGGAGAGCGGGCTGAGGCATACGAGGGCGTCTATCAGTGCTCCGCTCACAACGAGCTCGGCACCGCCGTCTCCAACAGCATCGTCCTCCGCCAGTCCAGTACGTCACATCAGTCACAGCACAGCTTCCACACTCTCATCTGCCTCTGTTTAACCCTGCTATCTCTCACTGTTCTGTGTCATAAGACATTCTCAGCGTCCTCAGCCATCTGATATTCGGAGGTAAATCTGAATGTTTGGTTATAATGCATGCGGCGGCTCAGTCCTGCAGACGGATCCTCATAGTCATTCAGTGTTTAGATCTCTTTCCTCAACACTCTCCTGAAGCATCACCTCATTCTTCTCATGTTCAGTTGAAGTTCACCCAAAAGTGAACATTCACTCACCCTCAGGCCGTCCAGGATGTAGGTGACTCGAGTAGAACAGTAGAGAAGATTTTAGCTGAAACCGTGCTCCTTGGTGATTCATATAATGTAAGTCAATGGTTACCGTCACTTTGAGAGTCAAAAAAACGAATACAGGCAACACAAAAATAATACTCGTCACGATATATTGAGATCTTATGAAGTGAAAAGATCGTTCTGTGCAGGAAACTGAACATTATTTACAGCATTATTACCTGTAATCCAGAGCCTCAGACAAACGGTCCGGAGTGATGTACGGTTCACAAACGAATCATTCTTTTGAACCGGTTCTTGTTGATGGACGAGTTCACCAAATCGGACTGAACTGTTTGAAAGCACAGATCTACAAGACTCGCTTTTGTAATAATGTTGTAAATAATGTTCAGTTCCCTGCACAGACCAATCGACTGATAACTCTTCAATATATCGTCAGGAGCCACGGCTATTCATTTTGTCTTGCCGTGGTCCTTACACAATAAGGACCACGGTTTCAGCTAAAACTCTTCTTTACTGTTCTACTGAGGAACAATGGCACCTTTATCCTGAATGGCCTGAGGGTGAGAAAATTAACAGCAAATTTCCATTTTTGGGTGATCTATCCCTTTAAACTTCACCTTCACACTTGTGTGGAGTCATGTGATCATTCCTGTTTCTGCAGGATCTCCTCTGTGGTCTAAAGAGAGAGTCAGTCCAATCATTGCACAGAAAGGACAGTCTTTAATTCTGCACTGCCGCCCCCCTGCCGGCCTCCCGCCGCCCATCATATTCTGGATGGACAACAGTAAGTGAAATGAAAATTCACCCTGATTTTCTGAAAGCATGTTAGTGACCATATATAGATGTTTTGATTGTAATGTTTAATCAAACTGGATCTTCCAGTGAAGCTGTATGCTGGTCTTCTCCAATCACTTAGTCCTCCTAAACTGCGCCTCTGCTAGAGTGCCACACCCACATCTCAACATCCAATCAACGACAGATTAACAGAACCAAGTCCCTCTCTTTTTTCATGAATCCATTACACTCAGATGTGCGTCACAATATGGAAGAAGAGATCTGATGCTACTTCCACTTGATAACGACAGTGAGACCCATTAATGTTACAAACTCCTGCATCAGCAGAAACCTGTTGAGATCAGGCACTGATTCACGAAGATCATCTTAACTCAAGAAACTTCCAGGACGTTTGTGAGAATGTGCAATTTTGAAGAAGTTTTCAAAAATTTAAAAACTTTTTTTTTTTTCTAAGAAGATGGAAAAAAATGTCTCCATTCACATGTTTTCATGTTAATTTTTAGATATCGCGTTAAAAAAATAAAATAAATAAATAAACACTTGGAATTAACTAAACACATCATGGAATTGCCATGATGTGCATAAAATCTTAAAATGTGCATTAAAAACATACTGCAAACACTCTACCTCTGAATGCAAGATAAGATGACAGCGTTTGTTATTGCTCTCATTCGCGTGCTCCGAGACAAAGGCATTTATTCTGGAGGAAAGAAAGAGCCACAAGGCTTCACCAGTTGCAGCAACTTTATTTATTTATTTTTATTAATACTTTGCTTCAGTTTCCCAGAAAGTGACGATTTTGTTCTCAAATAAAAGTAAACCAGATTATTTTTTTCATTTCTACGTTCTGATTATTTTGACGTCTTCAGTCCGAGTGTTGCTGGAATTGCTTTAAAAATATGTTTGTTACTTCTTTCCTTGCAGCTTATTGATTTTGTGAAGTCGCAGCAGAATAACCATCCAAAGCCAGCTCAGATGTGTTGCTGTGAGGCAGGTGTGTTTAGATCACTGTCTGTGTGTGTGTTTGCGCAGATTTCCAGCGTCTGCCGCAGAGCCGGCGCGTGTCTCAGGCTCTGAACGGAGATCTCTACTTCTCCAACGTTCAGCCGGAGGACTCCAGGAGCAACTACATCTGCTACGCTCGCTTCCCGCACACGCAGACCATCCAGCAGAAGCAGCCCATCAGCGTCCGTGTGCTCGACAGTGAGTCTGTGTAGTTATGTGAATGAACGCTGTTGTGCGGAGATAAAGCCCCAGATGTCCATTCATCACGTGAATGCACTGTCCACTCTCTCTGAGCACACAAAGAGCTCTTGAGCTGCAACTTCAGTCGTCTGCATGTCTTTGATTTGTGGTGTTGTTTTGCTGTGTTTCAGTGGATTCACTCAATGACACAATGGCAGATTATTTCAATGACACTGATTTGTTTAGTGGTGAGTGATGGCGCCCCTTGTGACCCTCCTTTAACCAACCCCTCGTCCTGCCGGTTTACTCTAGCCTCACCTGTGCACCCTCATTCACGCATATTAAAGCCCTGCTTTCCTGGACTAATCAATCAAATCTTCTGCTTTAGAGACTCAGTGATCTTATATCAAACCTCGGGAAGTTTGTCTCTCTCTGTTCGTTCATCATCACCTCGTTCTGAACTCATCTGAACTCTGTTTGTCTCTTCATCTTCCTGATTTCTGTTGTTCCATCTAGTTCTTCTGAACCTTGATTAGTTCTCTTCATTTGAATTCAGTTCATTTCAAGTGTATTTGTACGATGATTCAAAGCAGCTTCACAGAAATGTTTGTTTCATTGTTTTGATTATGAAACTGTTTTCAGTCAAAGCTGAGTGTCAAGTAACCTCCATATAAACGTCCAGTATACATTTCTGTGGTTCATTAACCTCATGTATTCAGTTAACCCTTGTGCTGTGCTGAAAATCCTTTACTTGATTTGGGGTTCAGTAAATCTTGGATTTAATCTTTTTGTCAGCTCGTTTTCTTTCAATCAGCACAGGTTTTGTGTTTGTTTTTGGACCTTTTTTTTTTTTTTACTTTAATTATCCACAAACATTATTTGTGGATAATTTTGCCAATATTCACTCAAAAGGCCTAGATCAATGAGGCCTACGATTAATCAGTTCCATAAAGAAATGTAAATCTTTGCTAATTGAAAGAAAACAAGCTGATAAAAAGATTGAATCTGTTAAAAAGATTGAATCTGTTAAATACAGTATAAACTACTGTCTAGTGTGTAAGCAGCAGGACTGTGTGTGTGTGTGTGTGTGTGTGTGTGTGTGTGTGTGTGTGTGTGTGTGTCTGTGTGTGTGTGGGTGTGTGTGTGAGTGCGTGCGTGTGTGTGTACCTGTTTTTCTATTCTGGTGGGGACTTAAACCTGAATACACACAAACTCATGGAGACTCGTGTCACGGTGGGGACCTAAATTGATGTCCCCATGGGTAAACAAGCTAATAAATCACACCTAATGAAGTTTTTATGAAAATCTAAAAATGCACAAAGTTTCCTGTAAGAGGTAGGTTTTAGGTGTAGGGCAATAGAATATACGGTCTGTACAGTATAAAACCCATTACGCCTATGGAGAGTCCCCACTAGGATAGGAAACCAGACGTGTGTGTGTGTGTGTGTGTGTGACTGCCGCAGGATCTCACTGAGAGTGTTTGTTTCAGATAAACCCGTGGATGAGCGAGCGCCCGTCTTCATGGTCCCCAGCGAGTCCGTCAGCTTTAAAATGGTTCTGAGAGGAGAGATTCTGGAGATGGAGTGCATCGCCGACGGCCTGTGAGTTCAGATCGCTCACATCTGTGTTCACACGTTTGGTTTATGATTGTGAAGATTTTTTATTTTTGACGTGCATTCCTGTAGCTCCAACAGTAGAACTGCTGAAATGCAATGCATCTTCGTTGGCTTTGGATAAACAGGGTTTCTGTGTTTAGCTGTAATGTCCCTCATATTCTCCTTCAGTCCCACTCCTGCGATCTCATGGGTTAAACACAACAGTGAGATTCCCAGCGGACGAGCGTCCTTCCTGAGCTTCGATAAGACACTGCGGATCACGGATGTGTCGGAGGCGGATGCTGGAGAATATCGCTGCATCGCCAATAATCGCCACATGGTTCTGAGAGGAGAGATTCTGGAGATGGAGTGCATCGCCGACGGCCTGTGAGTTCAGATCGCTCACATCTGTGTTCACACGTTTGGTTTATGATTGTGAAGATTTTTTATTTTTGACGTGCATTCCTGTAGCTCCAACAGTAGAACTGCTGAAATGCAATGCATCTTCGTTGGCTTTGGATAAACAGGGTTTCTGTGTTTAGCTGTAATGTCCCTCATATTCTCCTTCAGTCCCACTCCTGCGATCTCATGGGTTAAACACAACAGTGAGATTCCCAGCGGACGAGCGTCCTTCCTGAGCTTCGATAAGACTCTGCGGATCACGGATGTGTCGGAGGCGGATGCTGGAGAATATCGCTGCATCGCCAATAATCGCCATGGCTCTGTTCACCACACCATCAGAGTCACGGTTAACGGTGAACACACAGTCCTGTCCAATACTATCACCATACTGTAATTCTGCCTCAAATCACAGACTGACCCAGTTCAGATTAAAGCTGTACTCTGTATTTGCCAACATATTCCTGCTAATAGAATCTGGAGAACGTTAAACTCACATCAGACTCAGATATTTTTCACTGAAGACAACCCATCATATCTACATTGATGATTTCTGTGAACTGTTTACTCTTGCTCGCAAAATCAACCGTTATCTAAATTAGGGCTGTAGCTATCGATTATTTTAGTAATCGAGTATTCTACCTATTATTCCATCGATTAATCGAGTAATCGGATAAGAAGTCATTTTTCTTTATTAAAGAGCAATACTAAATATGCAAGAGATAATAAGACAGATCTCTTAAAATAAACAACTAATTTGTTTTCTATTTAGAAAAATTTACATTTTTATTGCTGAAATTGCATATATTAATAACCGTGAAAACTAAACCCATTTAATGTATTTAATTGCTAAATTGCATTCAAAATGCAAATACAAATATATCAATAAAAAAAAATACAAAAATCAATTTCATATTACTTTAAAAAAGGTAAACATTACAAACTAAAACGAAGGCATAAATCTAAATAATAGTAATACAAATAATAATACCTAAACATTGCATTTATGTCGTGCAACTTAACTTTCAAGTTTCAGCCTAACTAAAGCTCAAGCATGACATGAGCCTTTACTGTCTTCTTGGAAGGCTTTGTGACTTTTGTGAGAGGCAAATATCAGTGGACAGGAAGGTAACTTGGAACAAGA